TTGTTCACATCACTTCTCATCACCGACAACGACAACGACAATGCGACAACGCAGAACGGCAGACTGACAGTCAATAGAACAGTCCTTCAAACACATACACGCACACACACACACACACACACACATCCCTCACATCCGCACACACACACATTCCATTTCTGTGCTCTGTTCACCGCAAAGCGCTATTCGTGATCACATACATCACTGTAGCTTATGCAGTGTATTGCAGACACATATGGACGTGTAAGAAAGCAAAGCAAAGCAAAGCAAAGCAAACAACAGCATCGTGTGCACATGCACATGCACGCAAACACACTGTCCTCCACACGTCTTTCCCCCCCCCCCCTCTCTCTCCCTCCCTTACACGTGTAGACATGCACTCCCCGCGCAATTACAATCAATCACGCACATGCACACACATGCACACACACACACACACGAGCACATGGCTCCCTGTCTCCCAAGCGCGCGGAGACGTCGAGCTCAGTCGTACAGGGGGATGTCCTCGATGATGTTCTTGATGCGGCCCAGCAAATCACACGACTGCGGCAGCTTCGGGTTCATCCCGACCAGCACCACATGACCCTGCTGCTTCTCCTTCTCCCCTTGCTTCCCCTCCCCTTGCTGCTGCTTGTGGTGGTGCTCGAGCTGTTTCAACGCGGCCAGCATGGCCTTCTTGGTTGCCCTGTGTGCCATCTGCGGTGCCCTCTTGTAGAGTGCAGACCGGAGAACACACACGTAGAACATGGCGATCCAGTCATCCTCGATGTGACGTTCCACTCGCTCGTCACCAGCTGCACGGATGTGTGCTGACCGCTCAGGCAGGTCCGTACGAAGAGCAACCTCAGCCGGCTTGAGTTTGGCTGCCTTCATGACATCGGCGTCGCAGCCAGCCAGTTCGAAGTCGATCAGAGAGGCTTTGTCGCCGCTCACGACCACATTGGCGCAGCGAATGTCATGGTGAACGAGACCAGCCGCTGACAGGAGAAACAAGCTGTTGCAGAGCTGCGCGACGTGCTGTTCGTGAATGTGAGCGCGGGTCGACCCGAGGTGGGGCACCGCAATCATCTGCGTGCCGTTGCCACTGCTGCTGAGGATGCTGCTGGTGGCGGTGTTGGTGGTGCTGCTCTTGCTGTTGGTGGCGGGGATGCGACTGCAAGCGCGTTGCCCGTTGACGTACTTCCACATGTTTTCAATCTCTTCAGCACGCAAGTCGCCAGCACGGTGCCCAGTCTTGATGAACTTGCACACGTATCCGCTGCCTTTGTTGGCGACGGAACTGAGCACTTTCGGTGCCTCTGCTGACAGCACAGCGATAAGCACAACCAGCATCATGTGAATCACGCCACACACCAGCACAGGCACGGGCGCAATGGTGCATACAGCGCTGCACAGCGACCGCCTTTCAACCACACACACACACGCACACAGACAGAAGCAGAGAGAAATGGCAGAGAGACAGGCGCATGCATGCACACACACACACACATGCACACACACATACACACGCAGGCACACACACACACATACAGACGCAGACAAGCAAACAGCAAACAACACACCTTTGCCGCTGTTGGGGTTGAAGTGCAGCACATGGGGCTTCATGACATTCAGCGCAAAGTCGCTGCCATGCTTGGTGTTCTGCTTGATGGCGTGGGCGTACTTTGCGTGGAGGAAGCCCGCAAAGCAGGAAATGGCCAGAGCAGCATGCCCAATGTTCGTCGTTGGCATGGAAAGGATGTTGTGGGCAACCACCTTCACCACTCCACCGGCGTTGGCCACCATAAACTCCACCACGGTGGTCTGCACCGGGCTGACACGCAGCCCAAACATCGCCAGCCCAGCGAGCAGCGGCAGCTTCTCCAGAGGCACGTGCTCGCCTGCAATGCGGTGCACGTTCGCCACAATCGCGTGGTGCGCGTACGCTGCCAACTGGCCAAGCGAGTCAGCATCCTCGCCTAGCTTGAGCTCAAACACGGCCCCTATTGTGTTTGTGTGCAGGTCCACCATCACAATGTCTATTTTGGGGCGGGTGCCTGGCTTGAACCTGGCCAACGCAAGGCGGCAAGCGCGACAAGAGCACGGGCAGGTTCCCTGTAAGAAGCCGGCATTCGCAGCACCACAAGCATCACAGGGCACGCGAGGAGAGCGGGAAAAAAGGAGGACACAGCAAACACCCCTCCAACGACTGAGCACAACATGCACCGCACAACGTACGTCATGATTGGGACCTCACTCGGGAACATGACCCAGGCTCCGAGGCGCAAAGCCATGGCGTTGAGGTGCTGAGCGATATCGGTACGCATCTCCGCTTCGTTGGCCCATCCTGTTGTCAGCAGTTCTTGTGAAGACACAGCTGCAAGCACGCTTACTGTGATTTGATGTTATGTGCATGTGTGTTGGCAGGGGTGAGATGCAAACGTGCACACATTGCACGATGGTGTCATCACAATCACATCTCACATCACAACCCCTCATGTGCGCTTGCGCACACATCGGCAATACACGACCAAACACCACATGATGATGACAACGTTGACAAACGCTCCAAGGCCCAGTACACGTGTCTGCACGTGCACTTGAAACTGAAAGCAGTGCAAACACAGGCAACAACAGTCTTCGCCACGTCCTTACCTTGTGGCAGGTCAAGCGTCACTCGGTCCTCGCGGGGGCGGTGTGGGTCGGCGCTGGAGACCAGCAGCTGTTCGATTTCGTGAATCTTTGCAATCACTGCTTGTGGCGTGATGTCATCAGCCTTCAGCTCAAACTGGAAACGCGATAACAAGCACGCATGCACACACGCACACATGCACATACACACGAGTGTGTTGACACAAAGGCGTGCGGGACGGGCGGTTGGTGAGAGGCATAGGGAGGAGTGCACATATGGCGGCACGTCGTGTAGTGGTGAGTGGTGATGATAATGACACCAAGCACATGACACACACACACACACACACAAGCACACAGTCGCACACAAAAAAGCACATGCACGCACCTACATACACGTACACAAATACACACGCACACGCACAGAAATGAGCACAGCACTACTGTTCCACCAGCACCGCCCGCACACACAGCGCAGCGGCGACGGATGTCATTGCATTGCAGCACCTGTTTCGCGAGTGGCTCTCGCCATATGTCGGTGAAGAACTGGGCATTGTCCGGCCAGTAGACGAGATACGGGTTCTTCTCGGGCTTGGTGATGCTGCTTGGTGGCGTCATGAAGAAGAATTCTGCACACACACACACACATAGCAGTGCAATCAGCGCGCATGAGGGGCGGAGAAGTGTCAAAACAAGCGTGAATGTGTCGCATGCGTGACTATGGTGGTGGAGGCTACCAATACAAATGCCAACGACAGTAACTGTGACACAGTGACAAAGGCAGCTATAATTGCAGTGACAGTGATAGTGGCAGTGACAACGACGATACAAGCAAACGTGTTGTGCGCTGTGTGACATCAACGCAAAACGTCATGCACATACAAACACACGCGCAAACAGGTGCACACATGCCCGTGTGTCATCAAGACAACCAAAACAAGCAGGGCCGTCTTCATCACCACATCCGCACGACAACACACAAAGAGGTGGATGACAGCATACCGTCTCTGATCTCGGCGGGTGAGCTGATCTTCTTCTCCGCAACGCGCTTCTCGATATCTTGGAGAGCAGATAAAGTGATAGTGGCCAGTCGGGGCGGGCCAGCGGCGGCGGGCACAAGGCCGGCCTCCCACGCTGTCGCCAGGGCGTCGTCCACCACCTGTGACACCACAGTCCACCGGTGCTCGGCACTTGTGGTGTGTGGCAGCGGCTCACCTGCCGCCTGCAGCAATGTCGTCAACGCGCGCACCCACACTTTGTGTTGCTGTTGCTGCCACTTCTTCCTCTCTTCCTCTCCCTTCTTCCTCTCCTCCTCCATCTGCTTGCGCCATATCTTCTTTTTTTCCTCAAGCAGGGCCAATTCCCGCTCTTTCTCTTTCACCTTCATCTCCGCCGCTGCAACCGCTTCTTCGTTGCCGGGTCCTGTCAGTTCTGCCCTCAATCTTTCATGCCGTGCATTGCCGATCTCGCCTTTCTTGTCATTGATGCGTTTCTTGAATAGGTCTTCGTCCTCCTTCACTTGCTCGGCATCGCGCTTCACCCTCTCCATCTCCGCCTTCATCCTCTCCACCTGTGCCTGCGCATGCATCGCCCTGATCTCGTCATGTCCCGCCTTTAAAGCGGCAAGCTGTTGTTGTGCGGCCTGCAAGTCATCTTCCAGTTCTCGCAGCACGCACTGCATTTTGACGTACTCTGAACTGTCTTCATCCAGGGCCCATCTCTCCAGCAGATGGAGCATGTCATCTCCCCTGTTGCTGCCGCTGCTGCTGCTGCTGCTGCTGCCTTGCTGCTGCGCGCATACTTGCAACTGCGTAATGGTCGCAAACTGCGTGACTGCCTCCGTTATGATGGACGCCTGTGTATGACGGTGGTGTTGTGACGGTGGGGTAAGAGGTGATACCAGTCTGTGGCGGGGGGTGTGAGGGGGTGGGGGATTCGGTTGCTGCATCGCAAGGCAGTGCTGTGTCAATGTGCTTTTGTGCATGCGCAATTGCAGAACCTTGGAGGCCACGCGGGTTTCAGTTCGCTTCAAGTCTCTCTGAAAAGAAAAGACGGGGGTGGATATTATGCACGAGAACATGAGGTGGGTGCGGGTATGAGCAACATCGTGGCGGAAGCCGAAATCACAGCACGTGTTGTGGTGATTGCACCGTGGTGGTGGTGGTGGTGGTGGTTGCGACGATGGTGATGGTTGGTGGCTGCGGTGGTTGTTGCTGTCTGTGGTGACTGTGGTCGGTGGTTGACGTACCTGTTTCTGGCTGTTGCGTGAAGCCAGCTGGTGTCGACAGAACGGCGTTGTGGTGGTTGAAACGGGTTGGGCAGAGAGTGTGGGTGAGTACAGGAGCACAGAGGGTGAATGCAAACACTACACACACAAGCGCACACAAGCAGCTGTGTTGCAGAGGAGAAATGATAACGGCACTGTGGTGGTGGTGGCTGCATTTGTTGCGGTGGTTGTTGCTGTCTGTGGTGACTGTGGTCGGTGGTTGCCGTACCGCGCTGTTGCGTGAAGCCTGCTGGTGTCGACAGAACGGCGTTGTGGTGGTTGAAAGAGGTTAGGCAGAGAGTGTGGGTGAGCACAGAGGGTGAATGCAAACATCACACACACACACACACACACACACAAGCAGCTGTGTAGCAGCGGAGCAATGATAACGGCACTGTGGTGGTGGCTGCACTGTGGCGGCGTCGATAGTGATGCTGGTCTGCTTCTGCTGGCAGGACGAACACGTGTATCATGCAATCCAGCTTGTACTCGACAGACCATTAACACCTGCTGTTTCCGCTTACCCTTGAGCAGGCCTGCTTATGTGCAACAGCACACAATTCAAGGAACGACACGCACAGAGCAGACAGAAAGCAAGGAACATGTTGTGTTGTGTTTGAATGAGATGCAATGGGCAGGGGAGTGTGTGTGTGTGTGTGCTGTGGCCAAGTGAACGTGCAACACAGCAGCATGGTCGCATTCCTTTGTACGTACTGCGTTGAATGTCGCAGACCTCAT